GGCAGGAGCTGCCCCCTGGTAGTCAGTGCACTCCCACAGGGGGAGCACCAGTATGAAGCTGGGCTCATAGCTGGTGAGCACAGTGGTGGTGGCAGGAGCCTCTTCTGCCTCCACTGCAGTGCTAAGGAGCAGCAAGCTGAGCGGTAAGAAGCAGTGAGCAGGTGGGCAGTAAAGAGCGAAGGGTCCCAGACTGCAAGAGGGCACAGGCTGCACTGAGGGACACTCCCCCACCCCACATGCACATATTTCATGCACTGGGCCTCTAGTAAACAAATAAATAAACAAACCACCCTTTTCCTGAGTGGTTAGCTAGGGGAAATGGTCTGTGCCTATTGGCAGTTGGAACCTGAAGGTTTCTGCAGGGTGTGTGGGAGACGATAAGGAGACTCAGGGACATCACCTTCATGTCATTCCTCGCCTCCTAAGGCCCCTAGGTGTCCACTCTGTCCACTGTGAAGTGTTTTCCTTTGCTCCTTTGTCGTGTTAGGTTCAGGGTCATTTCAGCTGTAAGAGGAGTGCTGGGAGGAATGGGGCTACTTTGTCTTGGTTGGAACTTGAAGTCCCCTAAATACTAAATCTAAGCAACACTTTCTAATGCTTATCTTACTTGTTAAAAATTTATCCTAGGATGGTATACATTCTTTTTTAAACTCCTTCTCCCCCAGCATTTATTACTGCCCATTATGTGTTTCCTCCTATCTTTTGGTGACTTCTATGTGTTCTTCAGCTTCCTCTGGGTCAGTAGCTTTCCAAGTGGTGGTGTTACCCAAGACTCCATCCCAGCTAAGCCTTTTCATCATGCCTCCTCTTGCCTCCCTTCACCACCTTACCACCAGCTGTGTGCTGAAAACTCACAAATCTGTTTCCAGTCCTAATCCCAGTCTAGTTCCCATTGGAAACGTCCACCTGGCTATCCTGGCAACTGTCACTCAACAGGTAACTTATTCTCCTTATGTGCATAGGCAAATAGATGTTCCTCCAAATTGGTTCTTCTTTCTGCCTTACTGAATTTGGCTAATGACCCCTGAATTTACTCAGGAATCCCACTCAAACACAAGTCATCTCTGTTAGTTTCGTCTTCTCTTCCAACTCTCTTGTAACATACCACCACGCTCTGGCCATTTTCCCTTCTAAATCGTTCTCAGATCCATCCCTTTCTCTCCACTCCTCATGACAATGCCTAGATTAACCAAAATACTGTTCTAATATTTTTAAATTTGTCTACCTACTCGTTTTGGTATCTCTTACAGAGGCTCCAGAGTGATCTCTCTTTAATGAAAGTCTAATAAAATCCCTAGTGAATCCCCATTGCCTCTAGAAGGTGAATTCTAAACTCTGACTTCGCAGGCTCATCTGCCACAGTTTGCTCCATCCATTTCTGGAAACATACTGTGATCTCTTAGACCCCACATTTTGTCCAGACCTTTTTTCCCACATTGTTCCCCTAACCATGTCATCCTCTCCTTCCCCGACCCATACCAACTCCACCTAAACCAATTCCCAGTAGGCATAAAAGATTCCAGACATGCAATCTCTGCAGGGAAATGTTTTCCAATGCCACATAAAGTGCTTCTCTTCCCAGTTTCTAACACTCGCCATCCCCACCCATGTTGTAATGGTTGATTTGCTTCTTAACCTCCCACTTCCATTCCAGAGATGCTCTGCAGACACTTTCTTTCCCACACAGGTGTATTACAGGGAACGGAAAAGTCAGCCACTTGTCCTTTGACTAGTCATCTTAAGGAGAAAGCGCACCCCCGTGCTGAAGAGCACTGACTGACTCTGGAGCAGAGCATCTGGCTCCAACAGTCAGCTCTGCCACTTACTGGTTTGTGATCTTTCTCAGTGTTTCCATCTGCAAAATGGGCAAAACAGTAGCTACTTCATTGAATTATCATGAGGGTTAAAATAATACAGTGCAGAACATTGCAATGTGAAAAGGATTGATCAGTATTTGCTCCTATGTGATGTAGAAACACTAGCATGTAGCTATTATTGACTATTACTTATAAATATTGGCTATAACCTTAAAATATTTTATGCTATGTATTTACTGCAACATGAGAAACACGTCTCCCCTTTCTAAAGGGTAGTATTTGCCACTTAGTAATCCTTTGTTCACCTGCAAGAAGCAGTAATGAATGCAATACATTTTTCATGGAGGATTCTGAAAAATAGCCAGGATCGAGTGTTTTTCTTTTAGAAGTGGAGTAACTACACTAGAAACTTCAGCTAAGAACTATTTTTTAAAAGAAGAATACTTAAAAAGCAATATTATAAGAACACTTAGGTATTTTCTAGTTATTGAAAATAATTGCTTCAAAAATGAAAAATGGAAATCTTAAATAATATGACTGTTTAAAATGAGCCATTAAATAGATTTTTAAAGCTAATGCAATATATATTCAAGGGTAATTCTCCTTGAAAACAGCTGATCGACTATTTTTCTTTTAGAAATGGAATAACTCCACTAGGAACTTTAGCTAAGAATTATTTTTTAGAGTATATAAAGAGCAATATGGTAAGACCACTTAGGTATCTCCTAATTGCTTTGAATGTAAATAAAGAAAATCTTAAATAATTGACTGTTTAAAGTGAGCTACTGAATGGATTTCCTAAGCTCAAAACTTTGTACTATTATGAAATAGATGTTTATGGTTCCTTCTCAACAGTGTGCATGTTTCCTGAAAATTATGCTATATAAAACCATTTTTTTAAAAAACACATAAGTTGCCAAAACTGGTTTGGCTCAGTGGATAGAGGGTCGGTCTGAGGACTTAAAGGTCCCAGGTTCGATTCCAGTAAAGGGCATGTACCTTGGTTGCCGGCACATCCTCTGTAGGGGATGTGCAAGAGGCAGCTGATCAATGATTCTCTCTCATCGATGTTTCTAACTCTCTCTCCCTCTCTCTTCCTTTCTGTAAAAAATCAATAAAATATATATATGTATTTTAAATATATTTTATTGACTTTTTTTTTACAGAGAAAGAGGGAGAAAGATAGAGAGCTAGAAACATCGATGAGAGAGAAACATTGACCAGCTGCCTCTTGCACACCCCTACAGAGGATGTGCCCGCAACCCAGGTACATGCCCTTGACTGGAATCGAACCCCCTTTCAGTCCGCAGATCGACGCTCTACCACTAAGCCAAACTGGTTTCGGCCAATAAAATATATTGGAAAAAAACCCACATAAATTATTCAGTATTTGGCTCAATATTTTATGGTGGGGGGGGGGAGGGGCGGAATCATCAGATTGAGAGCCTTTCCTTACTTCCCCCAATTGGAAACAAAACAAACAAACAAACAAACAAAAAACATTAGAAAGCAAGGACATGTATAGATATGCTCTCTCTCTCTCTCTCTCTCTCTCTCAAAAATCATGTTCAAATATAAAATTAACCTTTTTTAAAACTTGCCTTAAGAAGGACTTTCTCAAATTTCAAATTCCTGACATTTCTCCCCTTACCTTCCATCCCCCTATATCCAGTATTTCTTTTAAAAACCCACACATATTTTTATTGGATTCAGAGGAAGGGAGAGGGGAAAGAGAAACAGAAACATCAAAGATGATAGAGAATCATTGAATAGCCGCCCCCTGCACGCCCTCCATTGGGGATGGAGCCCTTAACCCCGGCATGTGCCCTTGACTAGAATAAACCCCGGACCCTTGCAGGCCAACGCTCTTATCCACTGAGCCAAACCAGCTCGGGATCCAGTATTTCTTGAGGGAACATTTTTGAGGCAGCCACATGTTGAGGTTTGCTTTTCACCAGTACCACTAAGACAGCACCAGAGTGAGCCTCTTCTTCAAAGACCCCTGGAGTTCTTCCAGATGTCAGCCCAGAAGATTGTGGTTATACACCAGCTCTGCATGGCTGTGGCCCTCCCACACTGGCTAATTTCAAGAGTGTCCATGTAAGCAAGTCTTATCAAAAACCTTCACCAGATGTGGTTGAAAATATGTCGTCTCCCCCACCCCCCACCCCCAGTGACATTGACTTTTTATTATTTTAATATATATTTTTATTGATTTCAGAAGGGAGAGAGAGAAACATCAATGATGAGAGATAATAATTGTTCGGCTGCCTCCTGCACTCCCCTACGGAGGATCAAGCCCACACAACCCCGGCATGTGGCCTGACCAGAATCAAACCCTTCAGTCCACAGGCTGACGTTATATCCACAGAGCAAAGCAGCCAGGGCTGAAATCTTAATGCTATTATGTAATTGTGCTGTTGTTGTCCAGTGGAAAATAATTATCACAGGTGATAGTATGCAGGAAAAGATTTAAGTCATGGAACCATTATGCTTTTTTAAAACCACAATGTGGACTACCCAAACAAACATTTTTAAATGACTCAGGAAGCTGGCACATCTTTATTTATTTATTTAATTTTTTTTTAGATTTATTTTATATTGTTGATAGAATTACAATCTCATTTCCCTCCTTCCCACATCCACTTTCATAATTTTCTCTGCCCCCCCACCCTCAATACTCAAAATATTCATTTATCTCGTTTAGTAGATCTGTCTCTCCCAGTCATCTAGCAAAGCTTTTGTTGCAAAAACACAATTTCTTAACAATTACACACACAACAGAAAGGCCCGATTAGACATTTACAGGACTTAAAACATTTAAAAATGAATACATGGTAACAGGGCGACAAGGACGGCAGCATGGTCTCTTTCCATGTATTTTGCTATTCCATTCTCTTTTCCAAACCATTTTCTCTGAAGTCTGTCAAGACTTAAGTCTCCTATTTCCCCCCTCCTGCAATACCAACGATGTAACAACGTGAAGTCTCTTGCCTGGGGGGGAAAAAAAGAGAGAAAAAAATTATTAATGTACAGGGGACCCATACTGATGTCTGGCTGTTAACAACCCAACCCACAGCACACTCATGTACAGGTGACACCTAACACTGTCATCGGCCCACGTTTTCCTACACACTGGTCGGAGGGAGAAGGTGGTGAGGCTCCTATCACCCGGGGCTCCCCTTACGTGGCAGCTGCCAGCCTGTCCTCGGTGGCGGCATCGGGCATCTGGGATTTCTCGGGGGTGGCCTGGGGGCTGGTCTCCGCCCCCCTCTCATGGGTCAGCAGCTCGAAAAACAGCTCCTCCACGTTGATGTTCCTCTTGGCCGAGGTCTCGAAGAAGCCGCAATTCCACTTGAGCGCGTAGGCAGCGCCATCTAGCGTGGTGAGCTCGCGGCGGGCCTCGTCGCATTTGTTGCCCACCAGCACCACCGGGTACTTGTGCAGGTTGGGGCCTTTGATCTCGCGGATGAGCATGTAGAAGGGCGTCAGCTCCTCCAGGGTTTGCTTCTCGGTGACAGAGTAGACCAGGATGAAGGCGTGGCCCCTGGCAATCTTGAGGCACTGCAGCGCAGGGTACAGCTGGCCCCCTGGGAGGTCGGTGATGCGCATCTTGGTCCCCGAGCCGAACAGGCCATCGGGCACGTGGTAGATGACATCCGACAGGGGCGCGGGCGGCTCGTACTTCTCCGAGAAGCAGCTGTTCACCCACCGCTGCACCAGCGCGCTCTTGCCCACGCCGGCAGAGCCCAGGACCACCACGCAGAAATCCTTCTTCTTCTTGGGGAACAGCACGGAGCGGAGGAAGCTCAGCGTGGGCGAAGGCCGCACCCTCTGCCCCAGCTTCTCCTTGAGGCCGGAGCAGGAGTTGCCCATTGTGGGGAACTGGCACGGAGGCGAGCGCACAGCTTAGGTGGCACGGAGCGGGCGGAGCCTAGGGAGGGAGAAAGGGAGAGAGAAGGGGCTTGTAACCTGGACTTACAACCTGCCTGGGGGCGCTGGGGAGGGTCTCTCAGCTGGCTCCCCAACCCCACACATCCTCCCTCCTCTTAGGCAGAGTTTGGCTTGTAACAGATCCCAGGATCTCGCCAAGGACGCTGTGCCAGGTGGCTACTGTTTAAAATTAACAACTGAGCCAAAAACTGGTTTGGCTCAGTGGATAGAGCGTCGGCCTGCAGAGTGAAGAGTCGCGGGTTCAATTCCGGTCAGGGCATGTACCTTGGTTGCAGGCACATCCCCAGTGGGGGGTGTGCAAGAGGCAGCTGGTCGATGATTCTCATCGAGTTTCTAACTCTCTATCCCTCTCTCTTCCTCTCTGTAAAAATCAATAAAATATATATTTTTTACAATAAAAATAAAAATAAAATGAACTGAAACCTCAGGAGCCAGGATGCCTGGTTCATGGTGCCAACTGGTACCCACTGCCCACTCGTGCCATCCAGGGAGGGTACCGCGGAGGACGTGCCCGCCAGTTCATCCCCCTCAGTCCATACCCCCCCACCAGTACATCCCCCTCAGTCCATCTCCCCACTCCACAACCGTCCCCTCTATCCCCCACCCCAGTGCCCCGCGCGCACACACAGAGAAAAATTTGGGGTATAAAAATATATACCCCAAAGTTAAAGCCGTTACATGCCAGCGAGGCCAAATCATAAGATAATCCAACAGAATGATGACACTGTGAAACCACAGCTCTTACACTGAGAATGAGTCTTACACCTCCAATGCTTGCAGAAAACTCTTTTATCTTAAGAAGAGACCTATCCCAGGGAACAGAAACAAACATCTGCCTTTAGCTAACAGGCTCTGTCACCTACAGGCTTTGTGACCTTTATATGTGTTTCCATCTGCAAAATGGGCCAAACGGCAGCCACTTCGCTGAAGGCTCCTGAGGGTTAACAGAACGCAGAGCATCTGCGTGTGGGAAGGTTTGACCGGTATCTGCTCCGCTGTCATGTAGAAATCCTGGCATGCAGCCTAAATATCTGCCATGATCTTTAAAAAATATACTTTGTACTATGTGTTACTGCCACATAAACCCACATCTGCCTCGTTCTAGAGGGGCGTTTAGCAATCCCTTGCTCATCTGCAAAAAGCAACAAATGACGCAATGCATTTTTTCAAGGGGAAGTCTCCTGAAAAACAGCTAGGATATTTGTCTTTCAGGAATGGAATGACGCCACTAGAAACATTAGCTAAGAACTATTTGTTTGTCTGTTTTTTAAATAGAATACTTAAAGAGCAAGATGCCAGCGGGCAAATTCATTCCGGACCCAGGCGGCAGGCAATGGCGGTATTTGCAGATGCGTCACCCATCCCTTACCTGAAACTGCAACAGGAGCGCAGCAGCACCAGCTCGCTCTGAGGTTCCGAGAGAAATGCTCCCAAAATGCTCCGGTTAAACCTGGGGGCGCAGGCTGGGAGACTCCACTTGCAGGCTATGCAGAGGGGGGACGGTCCTTGTGGGGGGCTGGTCCAGCACAGATGCATGCCCACCCCTCCCCCCGCCTTCCCTCTGGCGTCCCCCACACCTGAGAGTGCCTGTACCCTGAGCCCAGGGCCGGAGGAGGGGAGGGGGTCCCGGATTCACAGGCACTCGCCTCTGCGGGCTTAGCCATGCTAAGATTTCTGTTTTAAGAGACTGCAGGACCTTCCTTCCTGTGGCTTCCCTGTGGTTTAGACAGGTTCCATGTCAGAGGGAAAAGGGTGCCCTCTAAACCCAGGGACATTAAGCAGCTATCACACTAATCCCTTTTCTTTCTACAATGTCTCATTTGATCATCACAAAAACCTTATTAAAAAACAAAAAAACAAAAACAAAAAAACAGCCGGGACCGGTTTGGCTCAATGGATAGAGCGTCGGCTTGGGGACTGAAGGGTCCCGGGTTCGATTCCGGTCAAGGGCATGTACCTTGGTTGCGGGCATATCCCCAGTAGGGGGTGTGCAAGAGGCAACTGATGGATGAGAGAGAGTCATCTCTCATCGATGTTTCTAACTCTCTATCTCTCTCCCTTCGTCTCTGTATAAAATCAATAAAAAATATATTTAAAAAAAAAAAACAGGCACGAATAAAGATGCTTTTGGAGGCAAGACACACACACACACACACACACACACACACACCAGGAAAAATTGGGGTGGAAAAATATATACTGTACCCCAAAGTTAAAGCCTTTAAATCCCAGAAAAGCACAATTAAATTAAAAATATGAAACCACAGCTCTCACGCCCAAAATGAGTCTTATACCTCACAAGATAGCATAAAATACTTACCTTAAGAAGAGCACTATAGCCCTAGCCAGTTTGCTCAGTACATAAAGCATCCACCATGGGTTTGATTCTGGTCAAGGGCATGTACCTGGGTTGCAGGCTCAATCCCTGACCCTGGTCAGGGTGTGTGCAAGAGGCAACCAGTCAATCAATGTGTTTCTCTCACATTGATGTCTCTCTCTCTCTCTCTCTCTCTCTCTCTCTCTCTCTCTCTCTCCCCCCCTCCCTTCCACTCTCTCTAAAAATCAATGGGAAAATATCCTTGGGTGAGGATTAATAACAATGACAAAAAAGAAGAGAGCAATCCCAGGAAGCCAGCACTATACTGGGCCAGAGGATTCAAAGAACTGGCTACAATAGAGTTCTGAAATAGATATCAGCTAGTTAGGATTCACAATTTGGAGATATGCATATCAGGGAAAAAGGCAATTAACTGAAACTAACATTGAAATGAATCAGATGTTGGAATAATGTGAGAAGGATTTTAAAGCAGCCATTATAGTTTAACAAACATGCTTTGTTTTGAAACAAGTAAAATAAAAACTTCAGCAAATAAAATATATAAAAAGGATCTAAATGAAAATTATAGAACTGAAAAATACTTATTCAAAAATATGCTTTTATTGATTTTATAGGGAGAGGATGGGAGAGAGAAACATAAATGAGAGGAACATCCACCGGCTGTTTCCTGCACACCCGCTACTGGGAATCGAGCCCAGGCGTGTGCCCCTGACTGGGAATTGAACTGGCAAACCTCTCTGTGCTTGGTATGTCACTCAATCATCTAAGGCACACTAACTTTTTAAAGCTTCCTAATGGGTTCAATAATAGAAGGAGGTGGCGGTGGATAGAATCAGTGAGCTGAGGATAAAGCAATAAAAGGCACTAATGTAAACAACAGAGAGATATTAGACTTGGGAGGGGTTGGGGGGACTGAATAATCTCAAGGACATGTAGGACATTCCTACATTTGTGTCATTAAAGCCCCAGAAGCAGGGGGAAAGAGAATGGGTCTGAGTAATGAAGAAATGATGACTGAAATTTCCCCCAATTTAGTGAAAGACACAACCTAAGTTCCAAGAGACTGAGCAAACGCTACCAGGATAATTGCAGGGAAACCCATGTCAAAACACATACGGCTGCCTCCCTAATTTGTGGAGGATGCGTTCCAAGATCCCATGTAGGCCTGAAACTGCAAATATTACCAAACCTTATGTATAACTATGCTTCTTTCTATGCACATATACCTAAGTTTCATTTATAAATTAGGCAATTTTCACAGAAGATTCGCTATTACTATAGGTCTTAGCAACCTCAGCATATGATTTTTTCCCTTTCATTCCTGAGTGGGTAACTTTCTCCTTTCCACTTAAATTAAGCACTTTACAGCTTCTGTTGACATATTCAAACTGCCAGCACCACTTACTCTTGTGCTTTGGAGCCATTATTAAGTCAAATAAGGGTTACGTGAACACAAGTCCTACAATACCATGACAGGCAATCTTTATAACCCAAATGGCTACTGAATGATTAATAGGTGGGTCGAATGTATAGCATAGATATGCTGGACAAATAGATGATTCACATTGCAGGTGGGATAGACCAGGATGGCAGGAGATTTCATGACACTACTCAGAACAATATACAATTTAAAACTTGTGAATTATTTATTTGTGGATTTTTTCATTTAATATTGTTGCATAGTGGTTGACTGTGAGTAACTGAAACCTTAGAAAGTGAAGCCACAAATAGAGAGGAACGACTATAATCACATTCTGAAAGCTGAACACACACACACATACACACAAAACTTTGCAAAGCAGCTAGGAAAAACAGTAACATATTTCCTATAGAGGAGCACTAATTCTGATGGCAGCAGATATCTCATTTGAAACCACAAATGCCAAAGTAAATGGCATGACATTTTTCAGGTGCTGAAAGAAAAACACTCAAAACACTATATCCAAAAAAGTGATCTTTCAAGAAACACAGAAGAAATAGTGATATGTTCAGAAAAGCTAAGAGTATTTGTTGCTAATGAGCATAGCCTTAATGAATGGAAAAAGGGAGGCTTTTTCACACAAAAAAGGAAAAAATAACAGAGGACAAGTTGGAATTTCAAAAAGGAAAGTAGAATATCAAAATATATATATTTTTTTAAAAGTAGGGGTAAATATGACAAATTATCTTTTCATGAGCTTTTACAATCATATTTGATGACTGAAACAAAAAGTCATAACAATATCTGATACTCAGGGCAATAATATTAAAAATTAGGGAAGGCAAAGAGTCTGAAATAGAGGTAAGGTTTCCATACTTCACTCAAAGTGGCAAAATGTTGAAACCAATAGACTGTGATAAGTCACATATGCATATTTTAATATCCAGAACAACTTTTTATACAGAGATATATTCAAGCAAACTATTATAAAAGAAAACTAACATAAAAATCTAAAGAAATGTTCCAATAACCCACAAAAAGGTGAGAAAAAAGAAACAGAGGAAAACCAGAAAACAAATAATAAAATCACATAACCTCAAATATATTTTAAAAATAGCCTAAATGTAGGGAGGCAAGATGGCGGGTTCGCAGTGAGCGGACGTCAAGGTGCCTTTTCCTCCTCCGGTCCAGGTGTCCCTAAAAGCCAAGGGATGAAAAAAAGGTATGCCTAGAAGCAAATTTTGAAAGCATTTTCTCTTCAAATCTTTTTCTAAACCACCTAATAAGCATCTTGATTCACCATGGCCGTATCAGCAGTGAAATGGGTGATATCCAACAGAACTATTTTGAAACATTTATTTCCAATCCAAAATGGAGCTTTATACTGTGTTTGTCATAAATCCACATACTCTTCTCTTCCAGATGACTATAATTGCAAAGTAGAACTTGCTTTGACATCTGATGGCAGGACGATAGTTTGCTACCATCCTTCTGTGGATATTCCATATGAACACACCAAGCCTATCCCTCGGCCAAATCCTGTGCATAATTATGAGGAAACACAGGATCAAATACTGAAAATCAGATTAGAAGTAAAAGAAGAACACTTAGAGCAAGGGCCCATGATAGAACATCTTAGCAAAATGTTCTTTACTACTAAGCACCGTTGGTATCCTCATGGACAGTATCATACACGTCGTAGGAAATTGAATCCTCCAAAAGACAGATGATATTGAGGTTTTCAATAAAATGCTGTCCTGTTCTCATTTGCCATTTGAGAAAATGCAATCAGATATATTCACTACTATGCTATATAGAAAAATAATAATAAAATGTCTTTTCATCTAAAAATTAAAAATTAAAAATTAAAAAATAGCCTAAATGTAAATTAGTATAAATAGACCAATTAAAAAGGCATACTGGTAGAGTGAATTTATAAAAAAAAAAAAAAAAAAAAAAAAAAAGCCCTTGCAAGTGTGTTCAGCTGTTAGAGCACTGGCCTGCACACAGATGAGTCTCAGGTTTGATTCCCAATCAAGAGTGTATACCTGGGTTGTAGGTTTGATCCTTGGCCCCCGTTTGGGTCTCATATCAGAAGCAACCAATTGATGTGTCTCTCACATTAATGTTCTCTCTCTCTCTCTCTCTCTCTCTCTCTCTCTCTCTCTTTCTCCTCCTTTCCACTCTCTCTAAAAAATCAATGGAAAAAAAATATCCTTGGTGAGGATTAACAATAAGAAAACACACTAAAACATTCACAAGCCAATGTAGTATTTGAACTGAGAAGAAACTCATTTCACATTTAATGACAGATAGGTCAAAAGAAAAATATTTTTACATAGTAACTCAGAATATGTAGAAACCAAAATGAAAAACACAAAACTATTTACAATCATGCTAAAGAAAATTAAATACTTTGTATATGCTTAACAAAACACATAAAGGATATGAATGGTGAAAATTACAAAATCCTAATAAAGAAATCAAAGAAGACCTAAATACATGATGAGACATAATATGTTCATGGGTTAGAAGACACACTGGGTAAATATGCAGTTCTCTCCAAATTAATCTCTATATTTAATATAATTATAATTCTTGTCAAAAACCCAGCAAGATTTCTTGTGAACATAGACAAACTTATTTTAAAATTTATATGGAAAGGCATAATATATAGAATAGCTAAAAACACACTTGAAAAAGAAAAATAAAATGAAAAGAATCCCTCTACTTGATATTAAGGTTTACAATATAGCTACAGTAATCATGATTGTGTCATATTGCTGGATGGATAGACATGTGCCTAAATAAAACAGAATAGAGAACCCGAGAACAGGCCCACACAAACATGCCAAGCTGATTTTTGACCAAGGCCCAAAAGCAATTCAATGCAGGAGGAATAGTCTTTTCAATAAACGATGCTAGAGCAATTGTACATCCATAGATAAAAACAAACAAGTAAACAAAAAAATCTCAAACAAAACCTCCTATCATTTACACAATGAATGTAAAAGTACGAAGTCATTAGAAATAAAAATATCAAACAAAATCTTTGGGATTTAAGTCTAGGCCGAGGTCTTAGCCTTGACACCAATAGCACAATCTATGAAAAGAAAATTTGATAAATTAGACTTCACAGAAATTACAACTTTTTCTTCCTGAAAGACCCTATAAAGCCAATGGAAAGAAAAGATATACACTGAGAGAAAATATTTGCAAGCCATAAATTAGGCATAGAATTAGTCTATAGAATATATAGAGGACTTATAAAACTGAATAATAAAGAAGTCCAATTAGAAAATGGGCAAAATACACAAATAACATTTCACTGAAGAAGATATACAGATGGCAAATATTTATATATAAAACTTTTCAACATTATTAGCCACTAGAGGAACTCAAATTAAAAGCACAATGTGATATTTCTACACACCTACCAAAATAGCTAAAATAAAAGAATAGTTATAACACAAAAAGCGGGTGAGGCCAAAGATCACCCATGCACTGCTGGGAGGCAATGAGAAATGGTAGCCACCCTGGAAAAATAGTTTGGCATTTGTTTTAAAAGCAAACATGCAACTCAACATACAACCAGCAATTGCACTTTGGGTTATTTATCCCAGATAATTAAGAAAAAACTTTGTTCACACAAAACACACACAAATTTATATGTACCTTTGCACACAAATATTTATAGCACCTTAATTTAGTGATTTTTTTCAACTGTTGTTCTGCCAGAAAATATAACACATGCAATATTTAGTTAGGAGAACCAATCTCTTTCCCCTTAGATTGTCAAATAAAAACTGACAACAGCCAAACAACAATAGCATTTAGTGTGAATGAACCAAAGTTATACTTTTTTTTTCAGATTGGCAAAAAATATATTTTATAGTTACCAAAGAATTTTAGTAATAGTTTATGTGTGCCATGAGATGAAAAATGTTGAACATCACTGCCTTAATTCTTAGCAGCTAAACAATGAGAACAACTCAGCCATTGTGACCCAGGCATCGCACTAATACTTTTACATATGTTAACTCATTAAGAATTTGCTATGAGTCTATGAAGTAAAGACTCTTACTAACTCGATTTTACAAATAACGAGACTGGGCATAGAGAGGTAAAATGGGAGAGACTAGGAAGTCAGGCTAGCTCCAGGACCTGTGTGTTTTACCCCGTGCTACCTCTGTAGTCGAGCCAGGTGGTGATGTTCACGACCCTCACAGTGATCATTTTGGGAATTTGTTTTCTTTCAGTTTCTTTCTAGACTTCTCTCTCCTCATCCTCCTTTTTCCTGTAGGAAACTAATGGCAGCTGTGTTCTCCATCCCTCACAAGGAGACAGTATCTTCTTTACAAATTTGGTTTCTGGGATCAAGGTTGCTTCAGTCCCTTATCCTCCGCAAACATCTTTTCCCATTCCTACCACTTCTGTTTCCAAACTGACTGCTTTCTCCAAAGCACCCTATTGCTACAAACTGTTCCTTGTTCTCAAAGATGTCATCTCTGACTTCACAAAATAAGGAGGCCACCAGCTCCTGGCCCATACAAAGCATTTTCTCTTTTCTCCAACCAAGGTTAGTGTCTTCATCTGAGCCCTCATGTGCTTTTCAACCTGTGGTCCTAGGACCACCTGAATGGGAATGACCTGGGATGTTTGTTAAACATATCCAACCAAATTTACATGTCCAATTTATTTGATAAAAAATTCTGGGCCCACAGCCTGGCATGTGTAACTCAGTGGTTAAGCTTCAACCAATGAACCAGGAGGTTACATCAATCCTTAGTAGGGGACATGCAGGAGGTAGCCAATCAATGATTCTCTCTCATCATTGATGTTTCTATCACTCCCTCTTCTTTCTTCTCTGAAATCAATAAAAAAAAAATATTTTTAAAAAATACCCAGGTCATATCCACAGAATCAGAATCCATAGGCGAAACCTGAGGGGCTGCATTTAAACAAGCCCACTCATGTGATTCTGATGCAAAAGAAAGCTTGAAACTACTCCTTGATCAATAATCTATCTCTTTCCTATCTCTTTGACCTCCTTCTTTCCATTATATTCTTTGTCTTAGCTTACAAATATACCCAAGTCCCTTTTTTTCCCCAATATTAAGAGTTCCTCCATCATAGGGTTGTGGTGATGAATAATGTGTATGCTCCTATATGGGAATTTGCCTAATTATATGTTACCATGATTAAACTGGTGTTATGGATTTTGGGGAGGAAGATTCCAGAGATAAAACACTGTTTTCATCACAACATATCCTGGGTACATACTATGAATATTCTTTTACTGTTTATCTAAAATCTTATCACCTACTAAAGCTCTCCTAGATTTTCTCCTGTTATCTTCTAAGAGTTTTATATGTTACTTTCAGACCTATGACCCATTTTGAGTTAATTTTTGTGAAGGGTTTAAGGTCTGTGTGTACATACTTTTTTTTCTTTTCTTTTCTTTTCTTTTTTCTTTTTTTTTTTTTTTTGCATAGGGATACTCAATTGTTTCAGCACAATTTATTGAGGAATAAAACTAAATATCCTTTCTCCATTGAATTGTCTTTACTTCTTTGTTCAAAGATCAGTTGACTATAATTGTGTGGTCTATTTTTGGGCTCTCTATTCTGTTCCATCGGTCTACGTGTCTGTTCTTATTCTTTTGCTAGCACTATACTGTATTGGTCTCTGTAGCTATATACAAGTTGTCCCCAAAATGTATACACACTCACTTCTTTAGATTATTTTAAATTTTGAAAATGAACCATATGTTAATAACCACTGACCTTATAATCTCAAAATGTGTATATTTTTTGGAGGGACACCTTTTTTTTTTTTTTTTTTTTTTTTTTTTTACTTTTCATATAAATTTTAGAATCGAGTTGATGTCCATAAAATATGTGCTCAGATTTTGGTCAGTATTGTGTTGAATCTGTAAATCCAGTGAAGAATTGACATCTTAACAATGTTGAGATGGAGAATCCAAGATGGCTGCTCGGGTAGGCACCTAGCCGCAGCCGCACGCAACAATTTTAATAAAATACAGGGGAGATAATAGATCAACCGAAGGACTTGTATACATGCATATAAGTACTAACCAATGGACATAAAACTCTGGGGAGGGAGGGGATATGAGGGAGGGAGGAAGGGGGGCAAAAAAAATCAATAAAATATGTAAAAATAAATAAAATCAATAAAATACAACTAAAATATAAAATGGACATTACCCAGAACTACAGGGAAGTCGACTGACTAGAAATTCTACAACAAGAAGCAAGGAGATAACCAGAAGGAAGCGCGGAGGAGCGGTAAAAGCCTAAAGTACGGAGACACGCGGCACATGCGGAGAGGACGGAGCCAGAGAGGAGGGAGGCTGAGTGCCTGGCTGGCGTTCCCTAGCAGGAAGGAGATAAAAGCTCCAACTGTGCTGGGCCCAGCTCCAACCGCTCTGAACCCCAGTTCTAGGCCAGACCCGGGGGACCCAGGCTCATCCAGAGGGAGCTGGGCTGTAAGGCGGAACCCGGGAGGAGCGGTGAAAGGAGGTCCCGGCGGCGCGCACATTGTGCGCAGAGAAGGATGGCCGGCTGTGCTGAGGGATTGCCCTGGCGGGAAGGAGACAGGGGCTCCAGACTGCTCTGAACGCCACCTCCAAATCCACTTCCAACTGAACTGAACCCCAGTTTCGGGCACATTGGAGGAGAGACTAGACTGCTTGGTAGCAGGCGATCGC